TATATATATATATATATATATATATATATATACCCACAATATGTATAACACAATGAGATTTTGAACACACAAAGAAATGACTGCTAATTTTTTTAAGTGTGATAACGGCACTGTGGTTATAATTTTAAAAAGTCTTGCTTTTTAAAGATACAAGATGAAAGTGAAAAAAATTAACACCTTCTTTAAACTGTCAAAAAAAGAGAGAAAGCTTTGCATAAATGAATATCTCCAGACATCTAGAATACAAAGCCTGAATTATCCCATAGCAAGCACAAAATTTATTTGAAGTCTTCTGATGTACCTTAGAAATGTATGGCCCTTTTGCATTTTCCATCTAATAGATGTAAATGTGGGTATTTTGTTAAGAAAAGAAACTATTTTACCCTGAGTAAAATAAGTACTCCAAGAAAATATATCCTATAGTATCATCTGGCTTTTTTTAAATTATTTTTTAGGTGTAATTGGACACAATGCCTTTATTTTATTTATATTTACTTGTTTTTATGTGGTATTGAGGATCAAACCCAGGGCCTCACACATGCTAGGTGAGCGCTCTACCGCTGAGCCACACCCCAGCCCTCATCTGGCTTTGATTACAACCCAGTATATGCTGTGGAAGTATAATCCCAGTCTGAATGTGTAGGGCTTAATTAAAATAGAGGTTACACAGCATATTAATGTTTGTGCTATCACAGAATACCACAAACTGGATGACTTAAACAGCAGATTTATTTTCTGTGGTTCTAGAGCCTGGGTAATCTAAGATTGAGGTACCAGTAGAGTTGGCGTCTGGTAAGGACCCCCCTTTGGGTCACAAACAGCTACCTGCTCACCATGTGCTCATCAAAGCCTTTGGCTGGTACACGGTTCCACAGAGCTCTCTCTGGTATCTGTTCTTTTAAAGACACTAATCCTGTTTGATCAGGACACTATCATATAATTTAATTTCACTTTAACTACCTCCAAAAAACTCCCTCTCCAAGTACAGTGGCATTGAGGGTTGGGACTTCAACATATGAATTTAGTTCTTTAACAAAAAGTATTTAGGAGATATAGGACAGGATATATAACAAACCAGTGATATAGCACATAATTCCATTTAAAACATATTTCCCCTAAATATTTTATTCTGGAGATGTTAGTTTTTGTTTTTTGTTTTTTTACTTTGTTCCCAAAAAATTTTATTTTGAAAATTTCAAAAGTAGAGGACGTGAGAGAAAAATACTACGAACATCTAGGATTTCACTACATTTGCTTTTTTTTTCTCTGATTCTTCCTTGTGTGTGTGCTCTTACAATGTATTTATGTGTATGCATATGTTTATGGACATACATAATACATGTATACAGACACAGAGATTATTTCTGCATACACATGCAATTCTTGATATGTATTTCTGTATAGTTATGTCTCTGTTTTGCACCACATCATTTGTAGACAGAAAATTAATCTTAACAGAAATCGATTACTGGATAATCAACTAAAATTATAAGTCTATGCCCCTTGGATAAAGGGGTACTTTGAAGTAATAAAGTGGTTTTATATTTGAATATCATAAAAATTCATGCCACTTTGTTTACAAGTCTTTGGAATGTGGGGTAACCTCAGTGATGGAAGTCATGTGGTCTTTTAAACCAAATAATGCTAGTTGTAAAAGCTGGTGAGTTGTGCTAATTAAGTTGGCGGTAGGATTACTGGAGGGGCTGCGACAGTCATTCTGCTTTGTTACTTTTCTTCCATGATAGTATACAATGTTGTCAGGGCAGGTTCCATTCCAGTCTCATGACAGAAGTTTGACGTGCACCAGCGCAGTCGAAATCATGAAGAAAATTAAAAAGGGAGATTTCTCCTTTGAAGGAGAAGCCTGGAAGAATGTATCCCAAGAGGCTAAAGATTTGATCCAAGGTAAGAATCTCATGACGCTTGGTGTTCTGCAGGGTGCATAGTGACTGAAGCGGAGTTGTGCCCCTTACACACACATAACATGTTTGTTAATTACTCACGGAGCCCATAGGTGTTCTCTGGGGTTTACCAGGCTGCACCTTTCAGCCTGTCATCTTCTTCCCAGACACTGTCCCTCAATGATCTCGACATTTCCAGCATGGACTAATATATGGCTCCCACTGCATCTCAGTCGAAGAACTTAGATGTACTTTTCCACTGTCCTTTCCCCAAACATATTTCTTCTCCCATTTTCCTCCTTCAGGACAGTGGCTCCACCCAGGAGCCAAGTCACTGAAACAGAAACCTGTCACCTGGCTGCCTGCACCTTCCTTGCCTTCTGCAGCCTGTCCCCTGGTGCTCAGGTTCAGCCACCTCTGGGCTGCCATCCTTCCCACTCCCAGCCAAGTGTCTTAGAGTCCAGCAGCATCCCTTCATTTGGACTCACTTCCTCTCGTTTGACCTGTCCATCTGTTGACTGAGTGACAAATGTGATCAGGGACTCTCCATCAGCTGCAGGTCTCACTCCTTAGCCTGGCGTTGAGACCTCAAGGCCTCCATCACCTGGCCCTGCTTCCCCTGCTTCCCGGTTACCACAGCTCTGCCACTGTGGGAAACTCAGATTTCTCCATTTCTTTCCATATAGAGCACCCTCTTCCTCCTGCCCACTCTCATTCCACAGGACTCGACTCCTGGGATCCTTCCAGGATACCTGCTCTCCACAGATGAGCCCTTCTCCCGGGCCTGCCAGCCCTATCCCGGTGTGTTTTGCTACTAGTGCCCTCCTGTTAGACTGGCTCCCTCCTGTCCCTGTCTTTAGTCACCCTTGAGTCTCCAGTCCATGTCTCAGGAGAGCCTTCCTCCCTCCCTGACTTGTAGCAGATGCTGGTAAAGGTCTGGACATGAGTGAAGTAGATCTAGGTGTTCTGTTCTCATTGGAGCTTACCAAGTCACCAGTGGGAGTCTTTGTTTGGGGGGTTTATTTTCTGATTGAAAAGCTCATTAGCCTACAGCCTCCTAGAAATAGGCGACTGTGGCATTATCATCCAGTGTCCACTAGAAGATCTAAATATATTTGTATATATATATGTGTGTGTGTATATATGTGTGTGTGTGTGTGTGTGTGTGTGTGTGTGTGTGTATAAAATATATAATTATCTGCTGGGTACAGTGGTGAATGCTTGCAATCCCAGTGACTTGAATGGCTGAGGCAGGAGGATCACAAGTTCAAATCCAGCCTCAGCAACTAAGCAAAGCCCTAAGTAACTTCATGAGACCTGTCTCAAAATAAATAAAAATGACTGCGGATGTGGTTCAGTGGTTAAGCACCCCTGGATTCAACCTTCAGTACAAAAAAAAAAAAGTATGGGCTGTGGTTGTGGCTCAGAGGTAGAGCGCTCGCCTACCACGTGTGAAGCCCTGGGTTCGATCCTCAGCACCACATATAAATAAAATAAAAATAAAGATATTTTTTAAAAGAAGTAATTATCTTTGTAGGAAGTTGAAGCCTCATTGAAATCTTCATGTCATGTGAACATAATTGAAATTTATGTCTGAGATAGATTTTTAAACCAGGTTTAAAATGGCAAACCTTAAAATACATTATTTATTCCCACAGGACTTCTCACCGTTGATCCAAATAAAAGACTTAAAATGTCTGGCTTGAGATACAATGAATGGCTTCAAGATGGCAGTCAGCTGTCCTCGAATCCTCTGATGACTCCAGACATTCTGGGATCTTCGGGAGCTGCCGTGCACACCTGTGTGAAAGCAACCTTCCATGTGAGGCTCTGCACTATGCACGTGGCAGGCGGTTTGAAAAGGGATTGTAACCACATTTCTTTTTTTTAACATTTTTAGTTGCAGATGGACACAATAACTTTATTTAATTTATTTATTTTTTATGTGATACTGAGGAGTGAGCCCAGTGCCTCACACATGTTAGGCAAGTGCTCTGCTACTGAGCCAAAACCCCTGACCCATAACCACATGTTCTTATTTGGTAGTCTCAGAGACATGCTGTCTGTTAACACATTTACAATATATTCACCTTTTAATTTTTATAAACTGCTTCATACTGCTTCATAAAGTGCTTTAATTTTTATAAATTGCTTCACTCTCCTAGAATGTGTGAGGCACTGGGTTCAATTCTCAGCACCACATATAAATAAATTAATTAAATAAAGGTCCATTAACATCTAAAAAATATTTTATTAAAAAAAAGTATACAAAGTACTTATTTGGTGTTTAGAATGAGTTTGTAAGAGGAGACAGTAATCTGATGTTTGAATAGTTGAAAGATTTTAATAAGTAATGAAAACAACTTAAACAAGCATACATAATAAAAAAGTTTTTCCCCAAAACAAAATCATGTTTTTAAACCATAACTAAATGTTAGGAACTAAGACATAAGAAAAGTCTATTCATTCAACAACCCACCCATTAGTGCATGTCATAGTCTAGGACTGAGGGATTTGAAGTGAGTTAATTGCATAAATATAGACTGTATCCTTAAAAAGCTGACACTACATGATGATAACCACATTATGTACCCTTGTGTCAAGCAAATACAATTATATCAAGATAATTAGCCTAAGAAATAATTGGGTAGAGAGATTTAAAATTTTTCTCTAACAGAATTATGTTGAGCCATCAGCACCAGGATTTGATTTTAAAAGTCATAGCTGGACATGGTAGTGTACACCTGTAAGCCTAGCTATTTGAGAGTCTAAGGCAAGAAAACCAAAAGTTCAGAGCCAGCCTGCATAAATTAGCAAAACCCTATCTCAAAATAAAAAGGGCTGGGGATGTAGCTTAGTGGTAGAGCACCTGCCTAGCTGTGAGAGCCCTGGGTTCAATCCCTAGTACTACCAAAAAAAAAGAAAAGAAAAATAGGGGCTGGGTATGTAGCTCAGTGGTAGAGCACTTGCTTAACATGTGTGAGGCCTTGGGTTCAATCCCTGGCACTGAAAATAATAATAATAAAATTTAAAAAGTAACAAACCAGAAAATGTTGGAAAGTAGCTGCAAGAATTTAGGCCATCTGGACTGGGATTGAGGCTCAGCAGTAGAGCACTCGCCTAGCATGCATGGGGCCTTGGGTTCAATCCTCAGCCCACATAAAAATAAATGAATGGAATAAAGGTATTGTGTCCAACTACAACTAAAAATAAATAATTTTTTTTTTTTTAAAAAAGGAATTTAGGCCATGTGATCCAGGTCTTCTCAGTGATGACCATGATGCGAGTTTGTCAAGGTGCCTGCACCACTGCCCACACTTGAGCTAAGAAGGATCAAGACAGGCTACTGTGAGGAAGAAGCTGGGGTGGGATTTGCAGAGCTACGATTCTCTGTGTATATTAAGTGACTAAAATAAGCCCAAGTGACGTTGCACTGGGTGTACAGAGCAAGGACCTACAATGGATTGAATCTGCTCTATGTTGGAATTTTGTGGCTGGAATTTTCAATCTTAGACATGAAACCAGTAAAAGTAACAGAAAGGATTGTTGCTTCAGATGACTGATGTTCTTCAAGACTTTCCAGTTAGTCAGCGGTTTCTCACTGAGATGTAACACTAACTTCTTAAAAAGATTTATTAAATGAGCGGAGGTGTAGCTCAGGGATAGAGCGCCTTGCCTGGCATGCACAAGGTCCTGGGTTCGAACCCCAGTGCCACAAAATAAACAAACAAATGAAATCCTGACTCCTGGACAGCCTGGCTGGTGTGATGCAAACTCAGAATTCTTTTCCCATGAGCTTCTCTTCCCTGCAGCAGGTTTGGGTATAAAAGTTTTGTTCCCAGAACAGCCTTAGAGCTATGGTTGCCACAGGAAGTTGTCCTCTGCTATAAGTTGTATTTACTGCAAAAATGTCAATACTTTTTTCTTTTGTTCTTTTTAGTTATACCTGACAGTAGAATGTATTCTGGCATATTATACATACACAGAGTGTCACTTATTCTAATGAGGATCTTATCATGGCTGTCATGATGTGGAGTTACCCAGGTCGTGTATTCAGATAGGAGGCTGGGAAAGTTATGTCCGATTCCTTCCTTACTGTCCTTCCTATTCTCCTCCCTCCTCCCTTCCCTTCATCCCCTTTGTCTAATCCAAAGGACTTCTATTCTTCCCCTTCCCACCCTCCCTTGTTTGGGGTTAGCCTCCATTTATCAGAGAGGACAACTGGCCTTGGGTTTTGGGAGGATTGGCGTATTTCACTTAGTATGCTATGCTCTAGTTCCATCCATTTCAAAAATGTCAATATTTTTACCTTCCCTGTTTTTCTCCCCTAGGCCTTTAACAAATACAAGAGAGAAGGATTTTGCCTTCAGAATGTCGATAAGGCCCCATTGGCTAAGAGAAGGAAAATGAAAAAGACCAGCACCAGTACAGAGACCCGCAGCAGCTCCAGCGAGAGCTGCCATTCTTCCTCCTCCCATTCCCATGGCAAAACCACACCCACCAAGACCCTGCAGCCCAGCAACCCTGCTGATAGCACTAACCCAGAGAGCCTCTTCCAGTTCTCGGACTGAGAGACCGACATGTGCATGGTAGGAATGTCCTCCGTGGCCGTGGCACCTTGCTCTCCCTCAGCATGATCCTGAGGTGGTGGTCTGTGCTTTAAAGAATTTGTCCCGTTGGTCTCATTGGAATCTGCTCCTAGTGAATTTTTTCAGGAAAACTGTTTGGTTATCCTTGAACAAGAGCACTGAACAGGGAATGTCACTGTGAATGGAGCATTTGTGATACCCTTAACAACCTAGCATGATACCAGCAGGATGATTCTTGAAAGGGCAAAGGTTTCTGTACCTTTATTAGGTCCTTGTTAGATGACGCTGCCTACAACGTCAGTCACAGGTTCTCTGATGTCTGCCAGCAAGACTTTACGCCTTTCACTAGGCCTGATGGACAAGGTGGGTTTTTAAGAGATTTGTACCCTTTGGATAGTGATTTAGCAGAGCAAGAGGTCTGTTTTCAGAAAAAGATTCTGTAATGAATTTTGTGTGTGGCATATACTTATTTCTTGAGAGAGAATTTTAACTTATTGTTTTTATTTTATGGTTATATATGATAATAACTTGCTATTCATCTTTTTCTAAAAAGTTAAAAAAAAAGAAGTTATTAGAACTCAAGGTCCCAAGCCTTGTGTTTGGGAGCACATGAGATGCATGCTAAGCTGTGTATGTTTTTAATTTTGCACTGCCTTTTCCTGGTAATTAATTTTAAAGATCATTGCAAAATATTAAGGTACATGTCCCTTTGTTTTAAGTAATATTGCACTTTATAGAAGAGTGTGAATAAATCAATCTGTTTTATAAAGTGCACTGTTGAAAGCATATGTACTGTATGTTTGCTGGGTTTTTTTCCATTATCTACTTTAAATTTGTCCTCACATCCCTCTTCTGCTTTGTATGCAACAAGTAGAATGGGGTGCTTTGTATAATGTGTCATTAGCCACTTATGCACCAATCTGAGGGAAAACTAAAGGGAAATTTTACTCAACACTGTGCTTCGTATGTGTACACTGTGTTGTGCTACAGTGAGGTATTCCCTCCTGTAGTCAAATATTATGTACATAATATTTTAGAATCATACCTATGACTTGTTTTGAAATTTTTCTGTTGAATTTTAAATCCAGAAAGCATTTTATAAACTTATGCAGAGCACTTTTATTGCTCAAAAGTTCTGAATTCATACAGAAAACAAGTGCTATGCGATGAAGACATTTCATTAAGATTGCTGCATTTTAAAATAGAATTAATTCATTCCCTATGCAAAAAAAATTAAGTGACAGGATTTGTACATTATGTTTTCTTTTAAAGCCATCACATAAAATGCCAGGACTGAGAAAAGTGATCTTTGCTATGTTTACAGAAATCATGCTTAAAAAGATAATGCCCAACATGTTTATTTTATAGTTTTTGTTAATGATAATCTCTTGATCATGGGTTTGGAATTTGGGCATGATATTTATTTATCCCTTTCCTGAGGTAATAGCAGCATTAATTTCAACCAGTTATAAATACTAAAAATATTGCACTCTCTGTATTGGTAGCATATTTATTACTGAATCAATGTGTATACTAATAGCACAGGCAACAAAAATGGCAAATATTAAAATATTTTCAAAAAATTGTATTATCCTGTTCACATTTTTGTCCATGATGGTTTTAGGGAATAACTTTATTATACTTTACACTGGCGCAGATGACTTCATAATTCTCAAGGAGTCAATGAAAGTCTTTGTACTTCTTTCAGTCATTCCTAGTAATGATGGGAAATTTTGTGTGAATTATTAACAAACTATAGCTAATTTATAAAATGTGATGCCATCAGTACATATTTATAATTTTTTTAAATGTTTGTTTATTTTGACCTTGGGTATACTTATATTTGGAAATGTGTAAGTTAGCTCTTCAAGTCATCTTTTAAACTATGAATCCTGGTAGAAAATATGAGTTGAAACAGAAACTAAAGGGACTATGTTTACAAAAGAAAATGATCCAGAAAAATGGTTCAACAGCACACCCCAAGACTGATGATGTGGTTGACTCCCTGCAAATGTTGGAATGGACACATTTTCCTCTCATTTCTTCTCTCTACAACTTCTCCTGGAGGACTTGACTGACCCTGAGACCAGCAAAGGTGGGCAGAGTAGGAGGAGGGAGAAAGGATGTGGCTCTCCATTAGCTGAAGAGCTTTCCTCAATCATCCAGAAGGGCTTTGGAAAAGACCTTGGAAAACACACAGCGTGTGCTCTCATCAGGTAGTGACATCCTCCCCTGACTTATCAGTACCCAAAATATGGCATTCCAAGAAGCACAAGTCACTAAGCTCTCCTTTGGTAACATCAAAATTCAAAGGTAAAAAATATTTTATATAAAAGTATACAGTGAAGGACTCTTTTGTGATACTAGGAGTTAAGCAGAAGATCTAAAAAAACCAAATATATATTAAATTTTCTTTATGACATTAACTGGGAGGATAGAACCAGTCATCTCTTGCCTTCTTCACTACTGTTGTGTTGTATATGACTTAGGCCAGCATACATCCTAAGTCAGATATTTTGTAACTATACGTCTAATTCATTGGGAGGCAAGTAAGGAAAGGAAGGTAGGTAATGGAGGAAAGAAATTAAGATCAGTTCCTTGTAATTATCATGCCAGACCTGTGGCTAAATGAGTTAAATTGGCTATTTTGAAATTCACTAATTCTCCCAAGCCCTCTGATCTACTGGGATAGAATATATAATAAGAAACCCACTGATAAGAAATAAGAAACCCACTGATCTACTGGGATAGAACATCAGTCTTCCAAATTAATTTCAACCTGATTGGGAATTGCAGTTCATTTATTTAAAAAAAAACTGCCTTTTAATTTTTTCTTTTAGATTACTGCTAATTTCTTGAATAAGTATGTAAACGACTATATTTTAATTATAAATTATTTTAAAGAATCCTACCAGGATAGATGATTGGTTTGTTGTTGTTGTTTTCCTTTTCAAATGAGGAAATTCTCTTGGTTACTCACTCTATACTCACTTTGTTTTTTGAAGTATGTACTCAGATACATTATTAAAAGTATACAATTTATTATTTACTTATTCACCAGGCCTCCAACTTGCTATTATCATACTTACTAAGAACAAGGTACCTTACAATGTTGAAAATTGCTAAATTATTCCAAATTATTGGCTCTCTCTCTTAGACCACCTGATGACTTTACATGTTCTCTCAGTGACCAATAGCATGAGTAGACAGATGTATGTGGGAACACTTCTCATATTCCTTAAAATCTAAGCAAGTTAAATTTTCATGTACCACTTACATTATGTCAAAATAATTGTCTTATAGATGAATTATCACAACAATGAAATATCATTTTAACAACAGAGTTTTTAAAATATTTTTTAGTTGTCAATGGACCCTTATTTTTATTTATTTATATGAGGTGCTGAGGATCACACATGCTAGGCAAGCACTACCACTGAGCCACAGCCCAGCCCAACAATGAAAGATCTTAAAATGATGATATTTGGTCTCTTACACCTTCACACCCCAATTTTTCTGGCCTTTACTTAATTACACCCCACATGTACAAAGTAAAATGAATCATACTTTAAAATTCACAAAGCTTTCACTAGAATATCCATTGTCACTTGGTCTGTCTGGCACAAAAATGAATGTGGTAAGCTCTAATGAAATTTGGAATTTAAATGAGTCATTGTAAAACTCAAGAATGAAACGGAAAAGACAAGATAAACAGAGGAAGTATGTGTCAAATAGTTTTAAGAATAATGGGCCCAAAGAAAATAGCAGCTACAGCATCATAAAGGTTTTATTCACTGTCTTGTGAAGTAACTTCTCTCTAAATCGAGACATTCTTTAGAGAGAATATTTTCCTTCTGAGTTGTTCTTTAAATCTTGTTTCTGCAGGGAGAAAAGCGTGTTTTCAAGGGAGCATTGTCTTAAGAACTTCTGATGAGTCTCATTTCATTCCTACCTTCAGATCACTTACCTTGGGGCTTTCTGGATAGTTCTTCTGAGCCCTCTTCTTTGTCTGCCCAGCTCTCCCTCCAAATGCTGCTTCTCCTACCCAAGGCTGCTGTCATCCTGCTTCATGAATTTGTGAAGTAAGGTGCCAGTATTTTCACACTCTCCTATGAGACTGAAAGAGTTAAGAAACTCCCAGATGTGTCAAAGTCTCTGCACTAAGGCACAATAGGTGCTGTTGATCGCAGGCCATTTCCTGTCCTCCATCACTTCTGACCATGCGCACCAAGCTAACACTTGCATTCAGGAGACTTAAGTTAAAAAACAAGATTCTTGGCAGTTCTTCATCCGACTTAATTTTCTTAGTACATTTCTGCTGGGAGAGGGGAAAGAACATTTTGTAATATTTTCCTAGTTAGAATGCTGCTTGGCCAATTGTAAAGCATTAATTATTTCAAATGAGTAAAATTTGTATTTAATACAGCAGCTAGTCTCCACAGCACAGGAGTCTGGGGGATATTGACCATTATTCCATTATTCTTTCCCATTGTGTGACACTTTTGTTTCCATTGTTCTTTTCCTTTGTATATTTTGTCTGATTTTATAAAACGTCTCTGCTTTAAAAAATCCGGTTATTATTGTCCATTCACACAGTAAGCAATTTTTATCTTTTTAGTTGTTTTGAAGTCTTCCTATATTAAAAATGAGAGAGAAGATGATGATGATGATGATGATGAAAACAAAGAACAAAGAAATAAATTCCATGACTGAGTAAGAAAACTGAAGTTGTATGAGTGGAATACTGTGGCTTTATTTTCTGACACTTCTCCTTGTAGATAGATTGGAAAAATCAGTGTTCCTCTTGTTTGTTTTAAAATCCAGTTAGGTTGAGGCACTTGACATTTTAACTACAGTTTTATTTTTAACTTCATAAGGGGCTGGTGATGTAAAATGTGCTGTGCTATTCTGGAATGAATATGTGACAGTTATTCTCATTAAGGACCTATGGCTGTGGTAGGTACTGGATTATTCATAATAGTTTATTGAAGGGACTCCACTACTATCTGACTTGCTAAGATTATAAGTGTGTGTAAAAGGAATAATTAAATGTACAGAAATGCCCAATCTTTTATTGAATAATAAGGGAAATAAAAAAAAAACACTGTATCTCACAAAAAGTGCTTTAGTATTAAAGTTTTGAAAAATATCTCTAAAATTCATGCACTGGCATGAATTTTTATTTAAAGAGACTCAACTACATAAACATATAAGTAGAGGAATTTCTAAGATTGGCATTTAAATGTACAGCTGGTGTACTTCTGTCAAAAATCTTACGTGTCCATACGATATGAAATTGAAACTTGTTGAAAATAATCTAAACTTCAATGATCTATATAGCTCTTCTTCCACAGCTGTACATAAAGACAAGCATTTGTCTTACTAGAAGACCAGTGGAAGATAAGATGAAAACGTTGTTTTCCTTCTGTTCTGTGTGGGTGGTTATTAAAAATATAGCCCAGCCTCAGAGGAAGGAGCCCGTTCCTCCCCACAGCCTCCGGCTGACTTCTCTGCCTGTTGGTTCCTTGCTCGGTGTGTGTGCTGTTTCTCTTGTTTTTCTCTTTTCCAACTCTAAGTCCATCTTCATTCCTGTATCCCTGCCCTGATATTTTACTCACTGCTTCTTACTGTGTCCATGTACTGCCTAAGATTTCTAGGTTATAGTTAAGATCACTTAAATAAAGACTGGATTGAGACAGAGAAGGAAGTTATTTAACATGTCTCTTTAGGTTTTATAAGGTGGTCCTTTTCTTCCAAGTAGCCTACGGGCTAATTTCTCTTTTTGTTTCTCTATTGACATGGTCAACAGGACCTGTCCAAGTGGAATACTAAGACTACATGTAGGTACTGATCATGCTTTTTAAGTTTTCAATGCACATAACGTGAAGTTCACAGGTCGTAAGTGTCCGGCTCAATGAGTTTTCACATGTATATGCATTCATGTCACCATCATGAAGTTCCAGAGGAGGCTCCCGGTCGGTACTTAAACTCTTTGGTTCCGGCTATGTTCTTGACTTTCCTATAAGGTCTGTTTCTGGTTTTATCAGATCCACATGATGTCCATGAAATATATCTGTGTTGCACCTACTAGCAACAGTAGTCTATTCTTTTATTGCTGTGTAATACTCCATCAGATGAGTTCATCACATTTACTTATCTATTCTACTGTTGATGGACATAAATGGAAATTCTTAATTAGTAGTTCTTAAATATTTTTTTCAATCTGTTTTCTGTTCTCTTTCTTAAGATTACCCCAAACCTTTTCACCATGTTTCAGATTATCTTAGCATTTCCTGTGTTTTCCATCATTATTTCCCTCTATGCCTCAAAAAAAAAAAAAAATCCAATAAATCTGACTGACCTGTCTCACTTGTTCTCTGTATTTATTGATACTTTCATACACTCCAAGTCTCTACTGAATTTGCAGTTTTTTCCTCTAGTTTCTTGAACATATTATAAAATATGATCAAATATGTTTTTCTGAAAAGCCCAAAGTCTGAACTACAGCCAGTGGCTCGTTTCTGTTCCCTCCAGTTTCTCTTGGTTATAGTCTCTCCCTGATTCCTCGGCATGCTGGCCAAGTCTGGCTGCCCACCACGTGTCTTGCATTGAAGATGGCAGAGGCCGTGCATGGTCGTATCTTCCCTGGAAGGTTGTTTTCTCCATCAGGCAGACAAAATTCAGGCCGATCACCGCATCCTCTTGAAGACTCTGACTTTATCGGGGCTTTTGCATATTTTAGTTTCCTTGTTCCTACCTAGCACATGGCCTCTTTGGGTTCCCAACTGAAGATCTGCATTATTTTATCAGAGCCACTTCACCTTAGTGGCCCTGAATTCTCCCCTTGGTCTCCTGAGTGCCAAGAGCTGCTAATCCCTCTGCCCAGCTCTTCAGCCTCCCAGCTGCTGTTTTTGCTGGGTTTCTCGGGGTCCCACCTTGGGCACATAGGTTTCGGATTGGATATCGGAGCAGGGCTTTAAAGTTGACTTCCTCGAGGTCTTTTCCTCTGTGCGTCTTGGCCTGTCACATCCTAGCTACTTTCACAGCCACGCTCCAACTTTTCTCTCTTTACCAAGCAGGGTTGCTGCTGTCTGCGAGGTGTCCTTCTCGTGCTGGGAGCTAGCAGTGCCTTCAGAGAAGTAGAAGTCTGGGCTGGGCTGCCCTCGGGGAGCTTCCCAGCGCTTCTGCCTGCATTGGTTTGCTCCTTGCCTGTGAAAGATGTTTTCTGTTTGATTTTGCTTTCAGTTGTTTCCAGGGGGACGGCTGGCCCAGTCACAGGCTACTCTAATTGTACCAAAGCACAAAGCAGTCTCTTTCGGTCATCATTTTCATTTCCCCAGGGTGGCTTCTGGCAGAAATAGCCTGGTTGTCACAAGTCATATCAGAGGCCCCCAAGCCCCTCTCCCATGCCATACATTTGTTCCTTCATTGAACAGTTTTGCACACCTGCTTCATGCCAGATTTTGTTCTAGACACAGGCAATAAGGTAAGGTCAGATCTCTGTCTCCTTGGAACTTATTGCCAACTGTTTATAGAAAGACTAATAATTTCTGAGTTGTACTTTGTAGTAACTAAACACAGACTTTTCCTGTGGGGTTGTGAGAAGGACAGAGACCTTCTACATGATTCTGTCTTCAAACTTCGTATCAGCATTTTTATTCTTTTTAAAAATGTGATAGATTCACCCAGTTCACAGATTACCCACAATACATCTATCCTTGTCTGACCTTTTGAAATCTAAAACATGCTAATCCATATCTGTGAGTCACAGCATCATATAGACAAGAGAAACACATGAAAAACTCTCTTTGAAGCACAGTTATTGTACAATTTGAGTTAAAACTCTAGGAACTAAGTTATGGGAAATCAGGTCTTTCTGTGAGTGCTAATGTGGAGATCTAGTGAAGAATCAGCATACTTCTGGTTTTCCATCAGTGTCCACAGTCTTCCAGAATAACATCACAGTTACCAAGAGAAAATACAACCTAGATACATATCACTATGAAAACACATAGTCAAATCAAGAATTTTATTCCTCCTCTTTGATATTCTTTCCCACTTCAAAAACTTTGTCCAGTGGATCGTTTTTGTACTCCAAAGACAGATTCCAGAGAGTCTGTACTTCTGATTACAGTCTGTTTTCATATGATCAAAGACAGGGATAGAACTAGAGACAGCCATCATACCTGGAAACTGCATGATACTAGAATGCACCAGATCAACCACCTGAGCACCTTTGTTTGGAGTCCTTGGAATTACGGCCCTTTGGGAAGGGCTCAAGAACTCTAGCTAAACTGAAAGAAGCTGGACACAGAAGGCATCATCCCATTCATATGAAGTGTCCAGAACAGGTGAACCCATAGAGAAAGAAAAGACTTGTGGTTTCTACAGGCTGCTAGGAGAGGGAAATGGGGAATGACTGCTTACTGAATACAGGTGACAGGGTTTGGGGGTGATTCAAATGTCTGGAATTACATACTGAAAAACCACTAGTACACTTAAAATGTGTGTTTGTTTGTTTGACATGGGGTGGTGCTGTGTTGCCCAGGCTGTCCTTGAGTTCCTGGGCCCAAGTGATCCTCCTGCCTCAGCCTCCCAAGTAGCTGGGACCACTGTGCTTTCCACCATACTCAGAGTGAGATGATAAACTTCATGGTACATGAATGTCATCTTAACTTTCTAAAAACCGTATGCACGAAAAAGAACCACTAGCTAGAAAGAATGCAGTTCTTCTGAGGAAGTCATTTCTATCGTCCTGCTGTTCCAGCCCCCATTATTTGGCAGCAATTGCATGTGAAGCATGCTTGATATCATGATGGAAAGTCTGTTTCAAGCAGGAATGAAGTTCTTGGGTACAAAATAATTTTGTTTCTTGCAAATAACACTGAGGTTCCAGCTTCACAGAAGGAACCTCCTTTGGGCCATTTTTTTCCCCAATATTGAGGGTGTGTTCTGATGGTGCCCACATCCAGCTGCTTTTTGCAGCTGTGATCT